GGAGGACAGTAGACCCCACGCATGGCGTGAAAAAGACTCAGATGGAGGCATGGAAAGGTCCATCTGCACTCCCACTGTAGCAGTGGAGCGTAGTGCAGTGGTATATGTCCGAGATGTAGTAGAGAACAATAGCTTCTGAGCCTCAGGATGTTATTAAGAGTCTTCAAACGCTGTACCTCTTTCTCCTCCACCCAATTAGGGCAAGACTTAAAGTAAGAGGGTGGGAACCACTACAGTTAATACAGTGAGGGTCCAGTTTGCACTCGTAGGCATCATGATCCTTGCCACCACAATGAGCACACGTCACAGAACCATGACAAGATGTCTTTGAGTGACCAAACCACTGACACTGAAAACATCAGAGAGGGTTGGGAATATAGGGCCGTACCTTATCGTTCACCAATTAGCAGATTTTTAACATTTTTTTTTTTTATTTGGAATGAGGGGGGATCCATAAATAAGGAGAGAGATTCAGTGCCCACTGACCCCACCCACCATGGAGTCCTATGAGGGGGACACACTACAATTTCAAGCATGGACACTGCAGCAATGCCAGGGTTTCGTGAGCACTATACCCAAACACCTGTATCAGACAGGATGTCCACAACACCCATTGAGGATGCCCAACACTGGTACTCAGTTGACCCTAGCCCCAGTGGACCAGCTGATTGACCCTAGGGGGGCCACCCCAAGACCACCAGTCTACAGAAATTCAAGGCCAAAGTGGTGTGTTGCAGTGCCTTAGACACCACTCAACCACCAGGATCCTCTCCTCCCCTTCACAGGTCGCCACACACGGCAAACACGTGGGTGGATGTTTAGATCCCAGAGAAAGTAACTGAAAATACAGAACCTTCCCTGGGAGGTCTCCTCACCATGTACAGGAATCCACGTCAAGGGGAAATTCAGTGGAACATTGAAAATTTTATTAACTAATTACATGCACATAATGCAATTTTAAAAACCACTTCTAATGTAACTCACTGTCAATTAAATAACACAAAGTGAACAGAACAATAACATAACATCTCTTATTATACAGTGTGCAAGCATGTGTGTGTACAAATGGTGCTCATATTTGTTCTCATTTTGAGAGCTTGATTTATTTAAAAGCATATTACTTTGATAACTACTATAAAGCCTTCTAGTAGTCACGTGTGATAATAAAATGTTGTAAAACAGTTCTGTTTCTAAATAATGAAGGATATCTTGGCTAAAGAGCTAGAAATGAAAATGTGTTGATTCACCATAACAGATGATTCCAGAAGTATGTAGTTGTATGAGGCGTTTCTGGTTATGATCAGATTCTACTTACGAGATAAATTCTTCTTTCCTTTGATTCACAATTTCTGGTGGTTGGGCAATAATTACTCGAGTCAACTGATCTGGTTCGTAAACCCACAGCTGAAATGGTTAAAAAACAGAATTTATTAATTCCTCAGATATTATTATTTTAACCCATTCACTGTGGCTGGGACTTATATTTCCCAGTGCTACCATCCCCTCACCCTGCAACAAATGTTTCCCCATCGTTGACTCTGTTAATGCCTTCCTCTGCTGGGTCCAGGTTTGTCATCTTGACTATCATCACTAGATGGAGAGCTAGCATCCTCTTGCCTCATCAAGGTTACTACTTGCTACTCTATCGATGCAGGCACAGTCAGCATGTAGTTGTTGTACATTCTGCTTAGGTATCTTGTTAGTTACTGCAGGGCTGAGTGGAAAACATTGAGGGAAATGAAACCATATATCAACATAAGGTTGGATGCCATTAAAGACTTTTCAACTTTTACTCCCACATATCACGTGCAGCAATTATGAATGACAAGAGGAAACATTTGTCCCAGTCACAGTGTGAGGAGGTGGGAGCACTGGTAAATATACGTCCAAGCTGCAGTGAAAGGGTTAAAGTTGAAAACAACGGGATATTTGAATTTTAACCTTATATTTTTACTGTATCAACAAAATTAAAATGAATTTTTGTTTTTAGTTATTATTACATTTTTTGCCACTTAATCATATCTTCTATTATACAAATACAGCTGCCCAATTACTTAATACTTTAATTATGGATATTTCAGCAATTATAATTTTAAGATGATTTCTATACTGAAAGAATTACTATAGATGTTATATTGACTATTGTTTCAACTCATTTTGAGCCATATTTTTATTTTACGGTAAATTTTCTTCTATAAATTTGTTTGTTTGTTTTGAATTTTGTGCAAAGCAACACAAGGGCTATCTGCACTAGACGTCCCTAATTTAGCAGTGTAAGACTAGAGGAAAGGCAGATAGGCATCACCACCCACCGCCAACTATTGGGCTACTCTTTTACCATCGAATAGTGGGATTGACAGTAACATTATAACACCCCCATGGCTGAAAGGGGCGAACATGTTTGGTGTGATTGGGATTCGAACCTGTGACCTGCAGATTGCGAGTCAAGTGCCCTAACCACCTGGCCATGCCCTTCTATAAATACAGCATACAAATTGTAACAATTTCAGTAATAAACACCATTAATTAACATTATAAGACAAAATAATTAATGTGTGAAAAATTTTAATTTTATACTCTGAGAAACTAAATATTAAAATTGGACTAATACAGATAATGTAAAAAATTGATTTTTAAAACTCAAGTATGAATTAAATGCCTAAGTTGTAGACAACTTAAAGTAACTAAAGCAACTGCAGTTTTATAAGAATGATGTTTGACGTTCCATACCTCTCAAACTATTGTTTCTAGGAGATGTATTCAGCATCATAGCAATGGCTTCTTGAGTTGGAAGTTTTTTTTTTTCTTTTGTTATTTACAACACAGCCTTCACTTTACAGAAGAAAACAGTGTTCTAGATGGTTTGAGGTGTGGTTTCGGAGCTTGTAGCTATTCTAAGTGTTCTAATATGCGAGGTTCTTAGATTCTTTGGAGAACACTGAAGTGTTCTTTCTTAAAAGAGTGTGTCCTTTAGCTCTATATTGTTTGATATGATAGTCTTGCTACATGGATATTGTTCTTTTGTAATGGTTGTAGCATATCCTTCCAACCATAAGTCCAATCATGGTAGTGATCCACTGCCTTGTGGTCTAGAACTCATCATAGGTGTTAAATATGCTTCCTATGGCACAATCGTCTCACATCTTTATGACATGCCACTACTTGGCATATGAAAATTACTTTATAAAGTGTGATTAACCTTTTGTAATAAATATTAAGCCACACAATATTTAATCTTGAACATTTCTGATAATTTCTTATATAACGACTACAGCTATACTGTTATATTCAGAAACTGCACATTATTAAAATTGCAATAACAGATTCTAAGTTTATTATGCCATAGAAGTGTGGAGTGTTAATCTTTTATTAAAACTAGTAAATATAATCAATGAGGAGGAAAATGCTTTTCTCATCTACATTTCTCTTACACAGAGCCTAAGATGTATTTTATCTTCTACAGAAAGTTCTGGTTTGATTGTATTTAAAGTGTACATTTTCAAACATGTCTGCCTTACTGAGTAAGAAATGAATACACAGTTAAAAATCTTTAAATATTTACTATGGGACACACCTTGACAGTAGCATGAGTAACTCTGTGAGGGTATGCATCTTCTCGTGCTGCCACAACAATCTGAAAGCGAGCTTGATTATATTGTGTCATTAACTGAGTTGTGGATATGCGACCATCTTTAGAGATATTGAAAGGAGAGGGGATGGGACGAACACTTCCAGAAACCCCAAGCCTGAAGAGGTTGATTTGTTCTAATCGATAAGTGAGTGTTCCATTTGGTCCTTGGTCAGCATCAACTGCTGTAACAGTAGCCACTACATCTCCAACTTGAGCAGTGTACTTGATACCTGGAATGGTGAGAAAGATCACAGATTCATAAAATAAAAACAAAGAGTTTACATTTGTGCAGAGTACAGAGTAGTCCCAAGAATTTGAACAATTTATAATGACAGTAGGTTCTAGAACTTTTCCATATGCAAGGAAACATCAGAACACTTAGTTTTGTTATCCTGTTATGAAAATAGTTGCATGGCTAGCACTGTAAAAAACAGGTCATAACAAATATGGTAATGTTATTACAAAAAAAAAAAATAATAAGATAGAAGAAAATCAAACAATGTTAATATGAAAGATATTTAATACTGAACACATTTTTTTATATTTTTTCTTTCTATTTTTTATATGTTAATTTCAATTTCTTTTTTCATTATGAGTATAAATTGGGGTCTTTCTGTAATTTGTCTAATCACCTTAATCTAGGCTTATGCACAATAAAATTAATAAGTGCCAAATAATTCTAAAAATAACATCAGGCATGTAAAAATTTAAAAGAATGTGTCCAAATGATGCAAACAATATTGTGGCAATCATTTCATACTAGTTAAAATAACATTATCATTTCTTGCCAGAAATAGGGGAGTGTACTCTTACGGTAAATCAAGATTCCATATTTTTGTACCATAAACATATAATTTAGCAGCCCAAAACCATTGTAAATACAAGGTTCCCTTTGCTTATATTGTCTATTAACATAGATTATATGGTTGATTTCTATTAAGTTTCCAAACAAACCAATGTTGACTAGCATTCAAATCAGTAATGGGAATGTATGGAAACAATGCACACACCCACACATGTATAATTATCAATAATAATAATATTATTACTTGTCTTATACTATATCTAGGTTTAGACTAATATCAGTAAAAATATGCAATGCAAGAGTCCTAAAAATAGGTCTTAGTATTGATCAAGACTCAAAAGCTGGATATATATATTATATAACATACAAGCTGAAATACCCAAGCTGAAAAACTGATGAGGAATGCTTAAACTTAATTTAAAAAATGTAAGTTTAACAGCAATCATATGTTTAAAAGTAATAACTTGAACATAAACTTTATCTCAAAATTTTAAAATTATGACAAAACTACCAACAAATAAAGATTTTGAGGTGATCCAACCCTTGAACACCCGAAATCTCGATGACCATGAGAAAAGCATGGTTGTTTGAGGAAAATCCAGTAACTTTCATAGTTTGACCTTGAATCCCTTTACAATATTCAACATTGTTTAAAGCATTAACCTGCCAAGATTGTTTGAGATTGACTCAATAGGCTGGAAGTAATTAACCAACAGTGTTAAGATCAATTTTGGCCCCCTTAGGACATTCCCCATAGTTCACAGTGCTTACATATAAATTTTGGTTGAGATTGGCCCAATAGGCTCAGAAAAGTTAGGGTGAAAAAATGCATATTTATAACAGATATTTTTAATCCAAGCATAAGATTTAGGCCTAGATCTAAAGTAAAGTATAATGTGTCTATACCAGACTCAATCTGACATTCTCAATTGTGACTGCTATGATACAAATCTAGCTCTAGCTACATCAACATTAGACTATAAAACTTTAGGTTTCGGTTATGTTGGGTGTTTGTTGCAAATTCTCATTTTGGGGGTACATTTTTTTTCAGCACCCAAAAACCTCTTGTGGCACCTAAACTTTTGGTATCCGAGTGTAAGTGGCACTCAAAAAGTTAATTTTACACCCTTCTTTTGAAACTACAAAAAATTAGTTTAAAAATGTATTCATTCATTGCAATAACACATATTGCTAAAAACCATACAGCTTATAAACACTACATTCACCTGCAAAGTACGGATCATTTGTAAAGTAAGGAACGTTATCATTGACATCTGCAACAATAACTTGTATCCAAGCAAGGGTTAAATCCTCTTCACGATAGCTTCTGTCTGCAGGAGATAAGCCATTCTGTCGTGACTGCTGGAAAAAATTCAAGACAATGTATATCTCTATGCTCTTTGCAGTAAATACTCATTAATTTATACACAAATGCAACCCATTATAATAGATTACTCCTTACTGTTGTGATATGCCTTGCTTAGGGAAATAATGGCTCACAGGTAAACTAACCATACATAACAGGAAGTTCAAAGATTTGGTTGAATAGATTGTTCATGCAAGTATTTTTTCCACAGCAAAACCACTTCAAGCTACCTGCTGTGCTCATAAAGAGGCATTGAACTCCTGAGTGTAGTGTTGTAACTCCATAAACTTGCAACTGTCCCACCAGGGGACATTTATGTGGGAACAGGGCAGAAGAGAAGAAACAAACATTTGACAAATGCAACGAAGTACTGTATATTTCAGGCTTCACATACAGTTGTATGCCTTCCATATGTGGAAGAGGAAAATAAAGTAAAAGCGAATGAATTTAATATTAATATACAGCTAAAATAAAAAGTACACAATGAGCAGTGGAAATATGGTGAAATAAAAGACTAAGCTTCTGGTCCTCTCAGCTCAGAGATACACCATCTTCCTTGAAAGTTGGAATGAATCTTTCCAAAATTATCAAAACTGCATATACAAAGCACATTGTCTATGTAGCTGACCAATCAGAAAAAAAACAAAAAAAAAACCGCACAGAAATCTCTGCTTCAATCTTTGAAACCTGTAAGGTATCCTCCAAACACAAAGTCAAATAGGACAAAATGCAACTACTTTATGGAACAGCATACAAGTTTCTTAGCCAGCCAAGCTACAAAAAGTAACACTTCAGACTGGTTAGTTCTCATGTGGCTTGAACAAGATTTAAAGACTTGGATGGTAAGATATGTAATATCTACATACTACAATGGTTCTTATTAGAGAATGGTGTTTTCACTGTATCTGCCTTTCTTTTATAAAACTCACCATTACACTGATTGGAAGAAGCATTTATTGGCCAGTGATCTTTCTACTTTGTTTACTTCAGCTTTAAATAAATATATAATTGTATTGAATAACAATGTTCTATTAGAGAGTGAAATTTTACTGTTTTTGCTTTAAGTGTTATAACATTTATCATAACATTAACTGGTAAAGGTTCTAATTAAACATACAGTCAAACTTATCATTCCATTAACTTGAAAGGGCCTTCATTAAAGATTGATGTTTCTACTGTCTTAACTCCAGTTGTCAAACTTTTCAGTGATAACATGGACCTTTACCATAGAGTGGTGTTTCTACAGATTTACTCAGCTATCATGAAGCTTATTATTAAATACTGTGGTTGAAGAAAAAGATCTTCGAATTATGATAAAAAAATCACTCAAGTCATCTAAACAGTGTATTGTAGCTAGCAATAGGATTTTGGGTAGCATTTATAGAAATATTGAAGGGATATTATTTTTTCACTGTTGTAAGGCCTCATTTAGAGCACCTTGTACAGTTTTGGGCTCCCTTCTTCAAGAAGGACATTGAATTGTTGGAGAATGTTCAGAGAAGAGCCACTATAATAATACCTGGTATGGTGGGATTGTCCTATGAGGACTTGTTTTCTCTGAAGAGGATAAGAATCAGAGGGGGATTTAATTGAAGTGTTTAAGATTATTAAGGGTATTGATAATACATATCCACCAAACTTATTTTGTTTGTAACAGTGAACTCAATAGGACAAGGGGTCATAAATTCAAATTTTGGCAGTGTAGGAGTTGTCTGCAGTTCAGACAGTATTACTTTTGAAACAAAGTGGATGGCTTTTGGAAGGAGCTGTCTTCAAGGGTGGTGGAGGCAAAAATTTTATCTGACTTCAAGAAAAGATTGGATGAATACATGAGTAGTAAGGGGTGGTTATAGTTGGGAGCTGGAAGGAACATCCTTGATAGACTAATAATTATAATGATTTATAATAATTGGAAGGAGTCTTTACAGAGGGTTAAGTATGCTGCATTAAAATTAGTTTGGAGCCTCATCATATTGTTACAGTCCAAGTCACCAAGTCCAATCATGCTCTTGACAATAGCTACGCGGCATAGTTTCTATTGTAAAAGGCTCATCATCAAACTGTAAAGTCTAAAGCACACCAATTCTGCCTGCATGCATTCCATAATTTATCTCCACACCCACATCCATAGTCTGATTGCACAGAAACCCATAAGTATTGTGTCTGGCAACTTGATCAGTATGTTTTTGTATGGAAAAGCAAAAATACTTGTTACAAACTCCAGCTGCTTGAGGTATGCTATTGTGGAACAAGATAGATGACTAAAAGACTGATGGCCTCATTTCCATACAAAGCCAGTATTTCTGTATAATATAAAGGATTTAGAAAACTGATTTGATATAAAGAACAGATCACCTTGATCTTTGTATCCACTCTTCTGATCCCTAGCTTGCCCCTAACACAGTAGTGATGATCATAAATCCCTTTGAAAAGATTTTGCAACACTGAAAACTTTTTTCACCCACTGACTAGTAGAAAATAGCAAAAGACATGTTACAATTATCAAGGTACACATACATTTCAATAAGTATCACCATGCACTGCAATTTTTACCCAACTAGGTAAATAAAAATTTTCCACGGTTGGTCTTCCTTTCTTGGATGTATCATGGAAGCAACTTGTGTTCATCTGGCTTGTGTCACTTTTACAGATAGAAATTATTCTTAATTGTGTTGTGTACTGTTTCCTGAGACATGTGTATGGCTCTTTCAATAAATCTTTGAATTTTTGGTTTCTCACCTGTTACAATATGCTGCACTTTGTTTACCTTACAACTGCAGTATGACTTGTTGCAAGTCTCTTTCTGGATTGACTGTTGCCCAAGTTGATCCACATTCATTGATTTTTCCAAATCCATTAAGTAAAAGGAAAAACTAAATCCTTGACCTAAACATATCTCATGATCTTAGTGTATGAATATGTTTTATCACAAAGGACTGTTCCATACACTTCCCAAAAGCACTCAAATAGTAAACAGTGTTAAAATGACTTTATACTCAGCTGTGGTTTTCTATTACTTACAGATTTGCATATTCAAAATGTTTTAATATAACATACTCAACCTTGTAAATTAGAAAGCAAAATGTTCACAAATTGCAAAGAACCCTTATCAGAGAGTGATGTTTCCACTATTTCTACTTCAACTTTCATCATAGATAGAAAGTGGAAACTAATTACAGCGATGTTTTCTCTGTCTTCACTTCAAATGTCATGAAACTTATTACTACATAAATTAGCAGCATTCCTTATTATATAGTGACATCTCATTCTAACATTCAAACACTCTCTTTAGATTGACCCTTAGAAAATAGTGTTTTCAGAGCAGAGTATAAAAAATGGGGTGCAGGCTTTCTTCACTTATGTCCTATACATATTAAGCCATATTGGTGCTTTAACTATCCAATATCAAAGAATATGTTCATTTAGCAACCGAAAGGCAAACCATATTTTAAAAAATAAAAATATTTTATATTATAACCCATATATCATTACTGTAGTAGCTGTTGTAAATAGTTGAGTTTGACTAAAACTCACACCACAACAAAATTCTACAAGTCAAGACTGTAAATAAAATTTTCAGTATCTGAGTTTGTTTCCCATAATAACCAAAGTATACAGTTATAAAATATCCAGCTAGAATGTGGAGAATAAAGATACTACTGCTGTTTGAGTTTTTGACTCTTTTTGGATCCACATCATTTAACTTCCAGTTTATACTATGGTTAGAATAAGCACTTAACCCTTTTGTGATGGGATTGGTATAGATAAGTTAAGTATTTATACTGCAACTTCTAATGCAGTAAGTGTATCTTCACAAAATTTGGTAGACTTTTGGCAAAGATTACAAGTCTTTCGTATACAAAAAATCAGATTATTTAATGAAGTATATTTATTATATATCTGTTTGTGAAAATAGTCTGTTTCATTACCAGTCCAAATACAAAGTGATGTTCATGTTATAACTAAGAAACTAATGTTCATCCCAAAAATCTCAAATATTATTTGTGTAATATTTAAAACCTCCTAAATACATTTCAAACGTTTAAGTAAACATTATATTTCCTCTGTTATTTTCTCTACTCTAGCCCTATGGGGTTTGTCAATTTGAGCAGCCTTGTAACCACCATAAAAAAATTGTTAAATAAATTTAAATTATGCTTTTTTTGTTCTAGTATGACTACAGATTAAAACATGAAAACACAAATGTTTAGGCTAAATAGCTTAAATCTCATAACATTATACATTTATATATATTTATTATTTTCATTATATTGACCTTTCAGCCATGTCTGGTTAACAATACAAAAGTTACAGTAACATGGCACATGTGCACTCGTGATACTGTATCCAATAATATAAAACTGACCTTTAGTCTTTACAAAATGACCCGTCTTGGCTGTGTTTCAGTGGACTAGTATTTTGTAAAATACAGTCACATTTCAATTATTATACATTATACATTAGGTCGGCAAGAAATTAATGTCGCTTTTTTTTAGATGGAAAAACCTGAACAACTTACATTTCAAAACAAAACATTTATTAAATGAAATAGTCTCCATTCTTATTGGTGATGCTTTTCCATCTTACAATCAGGTTTTTAATGCCCTGATTAAAGAAATCACTTGGCTTTGAAGCAAAAACATGTTGATGTCCAATTTAACACCTTCCACATTTGCATATGTTTTCCTATTATGATGGTGTTGCAGCGAACGAAAAAGATGGTAATCTGATTGTGCCATATCTGGAGAATATGGTGGGTGGGGAGAACTTCCCAACCCAACTCCATAATTTTGTGTTGCATCAAATGTGCCACATGTGGACGTGCATTGTTGTGGAGAAGAACACCTTTCCTATTTACGAGTGAAGGACGTTTCTGATGAAGGGCCCGATTTAAACGTTCCAGTTGCTGACTATAAATCTCTGCAGTTCGCTGTGGATTGAGGAATTCGAAATGAATTACTCCTTTGATGTTCCACCAAATGCAAAGCATCACTTTCTGCAGATGGAGTCTAGGTTTTGGGGTTGGAAGTGGTTTTTGTCTAGGACTGAACCATTGTTTTTGGCATTTAATATTCACATAGAGAATCCATTTTTCATCACTGGTGACAATTCTGTCCAAAAATGGTTCACACGCATTACGCACCAGAAGAGATGAAGCAACGTTCACACGTTGGAAACGATGATCATTGGAGGGTTCATGAGGCACCCAAACACTTTCTTTATGGAGTTTCCCATATTCCTTAGATGTTTACATATAGTTCCATGAGAGACATGCAATTTCAGGTCCATTTCATGAGTGTGTTGCCTTGGGTTAGACTCAACAAGAGTCTTCAGAGCATCAATATCAATTCCAACATGTCGGCCCCTGCTATCACAGTTTTTAAAGCTAAAGTCACCTGAACGAAACTTGCTGAACCATCGTTGTCACTTACAAACGTTCAAAACATTTCCATAAACTTCTTTGATATTCTTTGTGGCTATGGAGGGGTTGTTTCCCTTTTTGTATTCAAACAGCATTATGTGCTGAATGTGTCTCATCATGTGCCATCACTATAAGGGATTAGAGTAAACTAAACTTTACACATTATATAGGCTACAATAACATGACGTTTAGGCAGTTTGTTTAACTATTATATGTGATGCAAGTTTTTTTTTGGGGGGGGGGATGAAAGTGTTCCAAAATGCAACATTAATTTCTTGACGACCTAATTATCTACATTAATACTGTTTACAAACAAGTTCTTAAACTTAATTTTCTTAAAACATAGAACAGTAAATAAAGAAGTAAAAGAAACAATTATCTCTTCTAATTACGACCTTTGTACTCATTTGCTGCTTCACATAGGTTGCCAAGCCTTATGAAATTCCCCACGTGGAGGATGTAAAAAGAAAATTATTTTTTTATAGATTTTATATATACATTTTAAATAACCATAAAAAATAATAAACTACTATATCAATATAGAATTCTACTATAATTTATCAAATATAGTAACTTAGCTGTATTTGGGTCTAAAAAAATATGAAATTTCGAGCTCACTAAAGACTTACCTTATCATTTGAAATTTTGCGAGAAAAGAACGAGATTAACACAATAACACATCAAAATGGCTGAGAAAACCATTTCCAATAATGAGAAGAGGTGGGCGGGAGGGGCCACTGTGTTTGATTCAGTACATGAGCAATATCTTAGGATATAGAAAAGGTAAGATGTTCTCATTTTATATTCTAGCTTGTCAATATTGGTAGTTTGAGTTCCTAATTCGTACAAAACTACAGACTTTGTATTTTGACATCACAAACATCTAATTTAAACCAGTGCTGCATTCAACATACCATTCAACACACAAATATCAATGTTTATCTGTGTTTTTTACAATTTGATACCGAACTTGTTGGCATAAATTCATAAAATAGTAGTTCAATAAAATTTTGAATGTAAGTCAACAAATAAGTTGGCATGGCCTTTTACACATAACCTGTCACAATAGGGTTAAGCCTAAATTAGAGAAGCATTTCATAATATTTTTAGGATATTTCTTACTTTTTGATGTAGAATATAGTTTTACACAGAAGCAAAATTCAAGATTATTATTAAATTTAATGCATTAAATGTACTTATATTCAGACAGTAGAAATCTTGACCACATCTCTACTTTGTAATGGGGTGCTATGAACAAGGAGTGATGCCAAATTTCTTGACTCAACTACTACACCTCCTCACCAATCCACTTCCCATCTTACAACAATTTTCTTGGAGAATGAATGCTACTGAAAATCCTCACAGAGACTTTGCTCATTTTCAGCAAATTTGTTGCAACATATTTCTGCCTTCTCGTTTACTTTTCAGATGCAAATGTTCTATGCTGAGGACTTACAAGAAAGAACAACACCAGCCTGAAAGATTAAAAGTTGCCACCAAGAGAAAGAAAAAGTGCAGGAAAAATGACCTCATCATCCAAATTTGAACTGCATGAAAAAACAGAGACAAAATGCTCTGAAAAAATTGATTATATTGTCCTTCTGCTACAATTAACATGTTACAGTTATCGAAAGGGGCAGAGCTGAGTCAAATTGCACATCTACATTTTTTTTTACCATCTAAGCTTCTAAACAGTAGATGATTCACTGACAATTTTCAGTGATATTGTTTAAATCCTGTTTAAAAATGTGGAAAATATTAAATAAATATCAAATTTAAAGTTTTAAAAATATATTCCAAAAATTCTGTCTTCTGGGAAATTACAGATTATTAAACAAATGTGCAAAAATCGTCTGCAATTTTAAAGATTCTTTAATCTGTTTTAATAACAAAAACACCTATGTATGAACTTACTTTTAGAATGGTGTAGTCTGGGTTGCTTGTTACCTTGACAATTAACTCAAAATCTGTTTTATTTTCTCGGTCAAATGATACATTGCTACGTATCACTCCATGCAATTTGTCAATGGTGAAGAAACCATTATAGTTACCATCTAAGAAAACAAACATTTCATTTTAAAACATAATTTAAACAGAACGCTTAAATAACAATCCAAGCAATAAATAAATTAAATAACAATCTTTTTGTTTTTAAGTCTCTGTCACATGACTACAATGCAAGTAATAACAGTGACTATAAGGGCTGTACTAAGATGTTCTTCTGTGTGGTTAGATGTACTTAAACATTTCAAGGTTTTTTTTTTTATTTGGTGTACATAATTGTTTTTAACCAAGTTCTATCATAAAAACAATGAGATATATATATATATATTTTGATATCAAACTTAAAGAAGTTTATCATTTTTCTGAGTTTAAATTTCTCACCAACTTAATAGTTATAAAAGCATACAAAATGCACCTAATGTATGATAAATGTGAAAATATAAAACTGATTAAGTTGCTGAATAGAAGAAAAAAAGAAATAGTTCATCATCAGCTCTTTGTTCAAGAAAATTTTAGGGGCAAAGCCTATAGCTTGAGAAGCTTCATTACATTTCCCGACTTGTTGAGGGACGATTTTAGATCCTTTATGAAAAAAACAAGCAAACTTTTCTTTATCCTTAACTCCAGCTCAATGCAAGCTTAAAAAAAATAATTCAATAGTCGTTAGATGAAACTGGACTGCTATAAAATGAGTTGGATTTGTTAAAATAGTTTTGCCAATATTCATTAAGCACCATTGTAGTTAGTGAAATATACTAAAAATGTCTGACATGATTTACAATTGTAACTTTAAACTACTAATGAACACTGCATTTTATATAATGTATCATTAATTCAGAGTTTTTAAGTCATTGTAAAAAAAAACAAAAAACGGAAGAAAGGATAAAAGAAATTCTCATTTGTCATTTATAATGAGAAGTGTCAGTTTTGTCAGACATGATGTATTGGTAGTATAAAGCATCAGTTACCATGATGCCTCAACAATCATTGTTAAGACTATCTTCAACAGTCCAGTTTCATTTAATGACTTTCAAATGATTTCTTCAAGTTGTAATGGGTATAGTTAAGAATAAGGGATGATATTTTCACTGAGGATCTAAAATCTGCTTTTAATAAAACAGAAGATGTAAAGGAACTTCTTCACAAGATTTAATTTACCATTTCATTAGACAAAGAACTTAAGATATAACTGCTTTAATATACCTTGTGAAGTCTCAAAAGAGAGAGTTCACACTTCAACAAAAGTTTTAGTAAGACCTCTTTAACAGTCAGTTTTCTGCTTAGGAATCTGATTTATGTAGGGTTTGGAGATTATCACAGTGACTCATTTTGTTAAAATTATGAATGACCTTTTGTATTATTTTTAAATATTATTAAAAAACTTTTTTTTAATTTTTGAAGAAACCACATAATTATTTGTGCGTGTAATTACATGTTACATACTATATCCAGTGTATAATAAGAAAAAAACAAAAACAAACCTATAATATAGTAATAAATACGAGCATTATCTCCAATGTCAGCATCAGTGGCATGCAACTGACCTACAGGTGTGCCAGGAGGGGCATTTTCACCTATATTGAAAACATATGGGTTGGTGCTCTGAAATAAAGAAACATTTTGCTAATTTACTCTTCACTCATATACTCTATTATCAAAATAAGTTTACAAAATTTCAAAAAGAAAAATCTGACTACTTTCACCTGTTAGCTGCTTCATATGAAGCATGCCAGTCTTATGACTTAATGCTCTAATTTTGAACAAGATTTTTTTTTCAAACAAGTCTCAAAACCATATAATACTCATTATTTAGAAATATTATAAATCAACAAATACACTACCTTATAACAAATAGTAAAACCTGCTAAATCTGAACACTATAAGGGCTTTCTGGACTAGAATCATAACTAACAATGAAAAAA